AACCTCAGCCCCTCTGATCCTTTCTTATGAGATGAATATTCTGATATTTGGAAGTCACAGGACTAACTGCCTACAGAGTTGCAATGGTCATGTCCTCCCAATGAACTTTCATTTCCATGACATTCCCCTCTTTATCTCTGTTTCTGCCCTTAGAGCGGACTTTGACTAATAGGATTGCACTCATTCTCCTTTGATCATGTTTGCAATGTTCCATGCTCTTCACCATGTTGCCTTCCATTTTTCTGTATTCTTATACATATGTCTCTTGGAAGCAATATAGACTCCAGTCTTTTCGATTATTTATTTATTTTGCTATGGGGGTTTGAATCTAGGTGCACTTTAACTTTACCACTGAGATACATCCTCAGTCTTTCTTATTTTATTATTATTTTTTAAATTTTGAGACAAGGTTTCTCTAGGTTGACCAGAATGGTCTCAAACTTGTGACTCTTCTGCCTCAGCCTCCCAAATAGCTGGAATTATAAGTATGCACCACCATGTCCAGCTGAATTTTGTTTTTTGATCTATTCTTCCCATCTTTGTCTTTTAGCTGGGTTATTTGGCCTATTTATATTTAATGTAATTATTAATATTTTGGGATATAAATATGCCTTTTAATGTTTTTATTTCTGTCCCACCTGCTGTATGTTCCTTTTTTTCTTCCATTTTTACCTTCCTTAAGATTGGATGGGTATATTTGGTAAGACCCCTGTCATTCTTTTTTTTTTTAATTTTTTTAATTTTTTGAGACAAGGTCCCACTATATTGCTCAGGCTTGTCTTGAACCTGTGGGCTCAAGTGATCTACCCACCTCAGCCACTTGAACAAGCAAGCCTGTGCCACATCACCTTATACATGAGGAAATGTTCATCTTACAGATAAGGAAACTGAAGCCCAGAGAGGTTGACTACTTTGTTCAAGGTCACAGTGGTGAAAGGCAAGATGGAGCAGGTCCCTTCTCCCACTGGGTTTCTCTTCCAGCAGGGAATCTGGATATTGCATAAACAATGATGCAGATAAGCATTTAATTGCAGCTGTGATCACTTCTATGTAGGAAATGAAACTGAAAAAAATTGCAAAGAAAAATTTCTAATCCTGAAATTTGGGCCTCCTCTGGCCCCAAATCCGTGTCACTGGACTGGCTGAGCGTCCATATCACTTCCTATTTTTTCCCTTGAACACAACATTTTCTTGTCTCTAGTCCACTATGTAAAAAACATTTTGGGCTACTCAACTTCCCTTTGGTCTTGATGTGCAGCCCCCTACTCCTTCCACTTCAGCACCCAGCAGCACCCAAGGGACCCACTGAAAAGCTTGGTTTCTTCAGTCTGGGCCTTGTCTCCTCCAAGGGACAAGGTGCATCAGGATTCTGCTTTTTCCAGCCCCCCCCCCATCCGGCTTCCCCCTCTCAGCACTGGCTGCTGCCTGGCTCACTGACATCTCGGAGGAGTCTTCTGAGGATCACATCCACACTGTGCACTTTCCCATCAATTTGCCCTTACTCCTGTGATTCTCTGTCCTGAATGATTATCTGTACCTAGCAAACTCCTAACCTTCCCTCAAAACCCCAATGCAGATGTACTGCTTCCTGGCAACCTTCTCTGCCTCCAGAATGAGCCCTCTCACCCTACCTCTCGGATTCCTCCAGGTTGGACATCCTTCCCACCTTCCAATCACCAGTGCCCATGGACTGGGAGTGTCTGTTCCTAACTTCACCTCTATTCCCACTCCAAGGCCAGGGACAGGGTACTCTGGATCCCCAGAATCTGAGCAACATCCAGAATGGAGGGGAACAAATTGAAGCCAGGGGTGCCTTACCACTAAGCTACCTCTCCAGCTCCCCCCCCCTTTTTGAGACAGGGTCTCACTACTTTGCTGAGACTGGCCTCAAATTTCTGATCCTTCTGCCTCAGTCTCCCAGTCACTGGGATTTCAGGCACATACCACTGTACCTGAATAGAGTAAAAAAATAAAATGTTTAATTGTGGAACATAAGAATCCTGGTTGGCATTGTTTGTTTTTCTTCTTCCTCCTCTTCATCTTTTGGTACAGGGCATTGTACCCAGGGGCACTCTACCACTGAGTTACACCCAGTCTTTTTTATTTTGTGGCAGGGTCTCCCTGAGTCTCCCAGGCTGATCTGGACCTTGTGATCCTCCTGTTTCAGCCTCCTGAGTCACCGGGATTAGAGGCTTGTGCCACCATGACTGGCCAATCATTGACTTTTCAATGAATGAATGTGGTAAAACGTGGGAACATTACCTACAGTTTACTGAGGGCTTATCTCGTGGCTTAACCTTGTTGTAAGGATTTCACTGCATGATTCATAAGGTGAAGCCACTTGCTCAAGGCCATGCAGCTAGGATGTGATAGACCTGGAATTAGAATGCAGATAAGTCTAATTCCAGGACTTTTAAACAGTCTTTCATGTGCCTGAGAACATTTTTTTTTTGTTGTTGTTGTTGTTTCAGTATTGTTCAGTACTGGGAATTCAACTGAGGGGTTATGCCACTGAGCTACATCTCCAGGTCTTTTAATTTTTTTTTTATTCTTTGATGGACCTTTTATTGACTTATATGTGGTGGTGCTATGAATTGAATTCAGTGCTCATGCACGCTAGGCAAGCGCTCCACCACTGAGCCACAACCCCAGCCCA